TGCTGTCTGTTCAGTGACCTGGGGTTGGTTGCCTGCCAGGAACTGTTTCTCTAATTGTTTAAGACCTGTGGGGCCCAGATACACAAGTTCCCCTTGGCCCAGAGCCAGGTGTTTGAGGGGCATCCTTTGTGTGTCCTGCATGCAGCTGCTGACTTTGGAGACACGGGTCTACAAGACAGCGCCAGACTGGAGCATGTCCTTCCACAGGCTTTGGCAGGGCAGAAAACAATAGGATTCATGCCTGCTAAGTTTGGAATTTTATATCAAAGGAGGGAATTGGAGCACCAGTTCAGGGAAAGTGGTGCCGGCAAGGTAGGAGAGTGCAAAAATAACCCGTGGAATCACCTCCATTCCTGGAGAGAGTTCCAACAGACCCTTGCCTTTCTGGCAGATGCTTTAAGATTAGCCCGTGCATTTCATTCACATATGGTCAAGGTGCTTTTCAACTTGCCATTTTCATGCTGATTCCCAGGGTAAATGAGTCTGTGCACGAGCCCTTTTAAGATGGGAGTCTTAGTTTCCTATAGTCCTTTGGGTCTTCTGGGTATAAGCCATGCTGGTTTTCAAAGCCAGACATTTTGGGGCCTCGTCTCTCTGATGCAGGTCCCAGGGGTTGGGGTGCATGATCTGGGGCTCAAGTACTTTTCTCCTTAAGGATATGCTCTATAATTGCTATAATGCTATAGCAATTGGTGTGCCCAGGGGAGGAGATGAGTATGGGGTCTTCCTATGACACCGTCTTGAACACCTGCAAAGAATAGGGCCATTTTCATAATGCACTTAAATTCTTTAAAAGCCTCATTTATGGTTTATAATATGAGAGTAATTAAAGGTTGACAATCTGTTTATAAATTATTCTTATTTGACCATTTATGGATCTACTTAGAAATGGTTGCTTCATGCACAATTTTTGGGCACCCTGAGAAAATTGAGGTAGTATCATACGTTCAAAATTAAATGTTTAGTGAGTACATATGATTAGAAAGCATGTAGTATGTCTGGTATTAGACTATAGGGTGCAGGGACAGTTACAGTGACAGAACAGATCCAAAAACAGCCTTATCTGCACACAGGGATATACCACATTACTTCAAAGTGTTTTTTCAGTATTAGGATATAACAATATCACACTTTTCTTCGCTTAGGTATTTTCAAGTGCATTTTTAAAATTTTACTTTATTTGTTACTTTTTAACGTTTGAATTTAAATTCTGGTTAGTTAACATATAGTGTAATATTGGATTCAGGAGTAGAATTTAGTTATTCATTACTTATATGTATCACCCAGTGCTTATCACAAGTGCCCTCTTCAAGTACATTTTCTAATGCTAAAAATTTATTTCTTGTTTTTCTTTTTTTTTTTATTTTTTTTAAACGTTTATTTATTTTTGAGACAGAGAGAGACAGAGCATGAGCAGGGGAGGGGCAGAGAGAGAGGGAGACACAGAATCTGAAACAGGCTCCAGGCTCTGAGCAGTCAGCACAGAGCCCGACGCGGGGATCAAACTCATGGACCACGAGATCATGACCTGAGCCCAAGTTGGACGCTTAACCGACTGAGCCACCCAGGCGCCCCTATTTCTTGTTTTTCAAAGTAAATGTTTGCTCTATAACCCAATACAACACTTAAAAAATAATATTGTTGAATAAAATTTATCTGGAAGGTCTGGAAGCCAGAGGTAATGGTAATTGCATCTTGGAGATGATTTGGGTGGCTCAGAGATACAAGTGAGGGTAACATAATTTTGGTACCTTGGAATTAGGCTCAAATGTGTATTTTGCATGCTTAATTATGTATAACATTTTTTAAAGTTTTTATTTGAACTCCAGTTAGTTAACATACATTATAATACTAGTTTCAGGTGTACAATATAGTGATTCAATACTTCTCACAATACCTGGTGCTCATCACAACAAGTGCCTTCCTTAATCCCCATGGCCTATTCAGCCCATTCCCACACACACTTCTCTAGTAACCATCAGTTTGTTCGATGTAGTTAAGAGTCTGTTTCCTGGTTTGCGTCTCTCTCTTTTCCCCCTATGCTCGATTGTTTTGTTTCCTAAATTCCACATATGAGTGAAATCATATGGTATTTCTCTTTATTTGACTCACTTATTTCATCAGCACAATACTCTTTAGCTCCATCCTCATCACTGCAAATGGCAAGATTTCATTCTTTTTTATGGCTGAGTAATATTCCATTATGTATATGATTACCACTTCTTTATCTGATCATCAGTTGATGGACACTTGGGTTGTTTTCATAGTTTGGCTATTGTTGTAGATAATGCATAACAAACATCAGGGTGTATCCCTTTGAACTAGTGTGTTTGTATTCTTTGAGTAAGTACCTTGCAGTTCAATTGCTGGATGATAGGGTAGTTCAATTTTTAACTTTTTAAGGTAACTCCATATTGTTTTCCAGAGTGACTGTACCAGTTTGCATTCCTACAAACAGTGCAAGAGGGTTCCCCTTTTTCCTCATCCTCGCCAACACCTGTTATTTCTTGTGTTGTTGATTTTAGCCATTCTCACAGGTGTCAGGTGATATCTCATTGTAGTTTTGATTTGTATTTCCCTGATGATGAATGATATGTATGACATTTTAAAAGTACTTTTATGATTTTTTTCTGTTTAAAGATTCCTCTTCACCAAACCCAACCACTTTACTCCCCAATCAAAGAATATTCATTTCTCATCAATTCTGTGATCAATCTTTCAGGATCATGAGCACGGTTACCAAGACACATTAGCCATTAATATCTGTTAATTGTACCAACAAACAATAATACAAATTTTGAAACACTTTTACACAATTAAGCCTTATTAGAAACAATTTGTATTAAATATGCCTTCTTTGTAAATCTATGTAATTATCAATTTAGGAATTGAGGAGCTAAAGTTACAGTGTGCTTTTTCTAAGAGAAGAGCTATAAGGAAGTGCCACAGACATTTGCACTTGAAGAGAAAGTTTACCCAGAAGAACTTAAGGCAGATACTTACACCAAAATACAGTGTCATTATTTTCCAGAAATGCATGTTCAAAGGTTATCTTAATTGTTTTAAGCATTTCCCTGTGTTGTAGGATTTGACAATCAGTATCCGGGAGTTTTTCTTGAGCTTTTACTATGTGACAGAAGGTATAAAGGAACCCAGACATAGGAGCCATGGGTCAACCTACGGGAATTAAATACTGCTCTGTGTCATTAATAATGTCAAAACAAGTTGGCTGAACTCCCCAGCAGTATTCAGAGGTTACAGTTTTTCTATAACATGTTTGATTCTAAAATGTTATCAAGATCAGATCTTCCTTACGAGATAAATGCCCAAATTTTAGCTTATGTTTTATCCTTGAAATCACCTTCATCTTTGCAAAGGTCAGTTAAATCTCAAGATCATAGCACCATTGCTGGATGAGCCTGGTTGGTAATGCTTAAGCTCATTCCCCCACAAGGGTTCTCAGAAACCACACGAGATATGGTGTGACCACTAGGCTCTAGACATCTCAAGAGGAGGCCCTGTGACTTGGCTTCCCCTTCACCCGCTTACAGTGACCATTGTGTTTGTTCTCAGTGGGCACTCAGCAAAAGTCACCAACTGCCTGACCAATTAATCTGTGGGTAGCTGCCTGAAAACCCAATATCTCATTACTGCAGAGCAGATGAAAGGAACATTCCAAATCAACTGAGACAAGTTCCACCCAGGATGCCCTGATGTGGTAGGAGTCACAGAGCAAATACAAGATAACATCAAGGAACTTGAGCTGATCAGCTGAGTGGGTGCATGGACAATTCCATGCCCTGGGGAAATTTGTAGGGCAAATTTAGTAGTTGGGGGAATGGCAGAGCTCTTGTTCACTACAAACACATGAAGTTTTAGTTTGTTGAAATAGTGACAAGTTAGACATGCCCTGATGTGGTAGGAGTCAAGTTAGAGCTATGGGTGGAGAGGAGAAAGTAGGACAGAGTAATAAAAGAAAACCTAATGTAAAGTACAGATTCATTTAGGGTCTTCATAAATAATATGTATATATTTAGTTATATGTATATATACTTCTGATACATGATATTTTTTAGTTTTTACTATGTGTGAGGTATCAAGCTAGGGACTTCTTACACATTTTTTACTGTAATCCTTAGAACAGCCTCATTAGAAAGGAAAAGCCATTATCCTCATTTTGTGTAATGGGGAAACTGAGGCCAGGCAGATGAATTAACTTGCCTAATGTTCCCCTGGTAGAAAGCCATGGAATTTGGATATGCAGTTGCCATATTTTCCATTGTAAACATTCATAAGACATTGTGGCCAAGGAAAGCAGCCAGCGCTGCTGGGGTGGTGTGTGTGTGTGTGTGTGTGTGTGTGTGTGTGTGTGTGTGGTGAGGGAGGGGAGTTATTTTTGTCACCAGGAAACCGTCATCTGTACTCTTTCCCTTGGCTGAACTGGGACAGTGGAGAATCAGTGCATTTCTTTAGATAACAAATCACTATGTGTTCACCAGTAGTCAACACATGCATTGGGCATATATTGATTTAGATGGCAGAGTTTGCTCTGAATGTACATTGTAAAATTTAGAATTTGGGAAAATAAAGAAAAACCATAAGCAAATACAATTCTTACCTGTGTCTTGAGGTTTTGGGGTATACAGAGAACACTGTAGTCCTGTGTCCTTCATGTACCACACCCTCTTGAGTTCCAGTTTCAAACCTAATACTTTCTGTCCTACCGCCTCAAAAATATTTTGAATGGAATAGTTAATGTCTCTTTTTTAATAGATCACTTAACTCTCTAGCTAACATTTTCTTTCTTCTAAACAGGACTAGTTTTTATGACTGCACTTTGAAGATGGTTATAGTTAGTCATCTAATGACTATTAAAAGGGAGAGGTGATAAAAATGATTATTTTTGAACTGAGCTAGACCTAGTAAAATTCCCATTTGTCATGAAAACAGACTTGATTTAAAAGTTTGTAAATCATTCTAAAATGTTTTTGTTTCTCTAGATGCAATCTTCCTCCTTTGTCAAGTGAATACACTAAAGATGTTGGATCCAAAAGTCATTTAGTGACAGCTAACCCCAGCATAATTCGGCAAAGGTAAGAGCTTATGACTTTTGTTTGTGAGGAACTAAAGAGGAAGGCCTTTGAAGTATTTAACATCTTAAAGACAGTGAACATAATTCAGTTTGAGAAATAAAGAAGAAACCCATCTGGACAGGCAGGAAAAATGAAGGAGAGAATTGTAAATAAACTAAGCAGGATTATGGGAATCTAAACACTATTTTATGCTTCTTCTGGGACTCCGTTTCTTTCCTTTAGAGGTGGTAGAAATAACATGAAAATTCATTGTTTTGCTCAAAAGAAGCAGTAGCCTGCTTACTCATTCCTACTACTCTCCAACTTCTTGGCTTTTGTCCCAACTCGTTGATTGGCATTGATTGGTGAACTGAGTTAATATTGGTTTTGTTAAAGAATAAAAACAAAAAATGACCAACCTACTGTACATGTATGCATGAACATAATAATATTGTTAGAATGCACAGGAATTTTTAATCATGTGATGATCTTATACTATGTTACAATCAATCAGATTTAGGAACTCAGATGGAAAATTCTTGCTCCCAAATCAATTCTAGAGATCTTGACAGCTGCTGTGGAAGCTTTGGTGGGTTGGTCTCTAGTTGATGAAGCCGGTCAGTACACTATGGGCTGTTTCTCCAAGGATTATTCATTATAGAGAATGACTCAATCCCTGTGAAAAGAGGAATCCAACATTGCCTCATATTCTCCCATACAGAAAACTAGCAATTAGGACTGAAATACCCAGATGTTGTGGGCTCAGCCAGTTGTAATCTAAAGGAGTCCTATCCAAGTGACTAGCACCTGTGTGTCACTTTATAAGCAATGCTGCACCTGCTTGTTTGGGTTTAACAGTAAGCATTCTCACACAATAGATCTTTAGAAATACAACCCAACAATTTTTAATTTTGACAGATACTGTGAAATCACCCTTCTAAAATGTACCATTTACTTTCTCTTTTGTAAACAATAAGACTACCTGTTTCCCAATACTAAAAACGACATTATGTACTATTCATCTTCTAAGTTTTTGGCAGTTTGTTAGGTGGGAGATGATATATTACTTTTTACTTAATATGCATTTTTCTGAATACAGCAAAGGCTGAGTGGGTATTGATTATTAGTATTTCCTCTGTGAATTGCCTGCTTGTATTTTTTGCTCGTTTTGTGTGATTTTTCTTTTAAAAAATATTTTCCTGTTGATTTATAGGAATGGTTTGTATGATCGATATTAACTATTTATATTATAGATATGTTTGCCGTATATGTAGCAAATATTTCCTTCTAGCGTATCATAGATCTTTTAACTTATGTCCTTTCAAAATTTACCACGTTTTATGCAATGAAATTTCCTTTTCCTTTATGGCTTTATTTTTAAATCTTTCTTTGGATGATCCTCCTTATCCACATCCCCTCCATAAAAAAATATTATCTTGTATTTTTCTAGTGCATTTATAGTTTCATTTTTCATATTTAAGAAATTCAATCCATGTGAATATTTATTTTTATAACAATACTTTTATTGTCTTTCAATAAAATAAATATATGTATAGGAGGACACATAATTATGGCAGCAAAAATAAGGTTAGAGAAGATAGCATTATTGATTTCTTTAAAAGAAATTCTCAGCAAGGAACTCTGCTATAGCCTTTGTTAGGATATATTGTTTAGAGTGCATTCTTATCTTTTAAAAAACAGTTTTATTGAGGTATAATTGCAGGTATAACGCATGGTTAATGTATATAATTTGATGATTTTGTGCATATGTATACACTAATGATACTTACTACCACACTCAAGGTACTAAACATATCTATCACCTCCAAAAGTTTCCTTGGGCTTCTGTTGTGTGTGTGTGTGTGTGTGTGTGTGTGTGTGTGTGGTAAGAATGCATAACATGAGATCTGACTTCTTCACAAATTGTTGTTCAGTGGATATAAAGTGCATTCTTCTTGACTGCACCCAGAACAAAGAGATTAGTTAGGACAGTTGAGACGCGAGGTTAGAAAGGGCTTTGCAGGAAGTCACGCTTACCTTCTGAGTGCTTTGTTATGGGCTCAGAGAAGAGAGGTTGTTCTAATATGGCAGCAGAGTGTATTGGATGTTCAAATTCACTGCTATTGTTCGCTTCCTTTCTTTGCTGAGTTTTGTAGGTAGATGACAGCAAGGATCTGTTCATGGGGTTACCCCTTCATCAACATACTGCTTCTAATTCCTTGGGCCTCAAATAGTTTTGTTTAAATATCCTTTAAAAGTATTTTAAAAATCCATCATTGTTTCCTTGATCATTTTTAAGTTATCTAATTTTTTGGCATAAGGTTATATTTCACCAAGTATGTACTTTCAGTGTATTCTATATTGTGCATATGCTTTAAATATATATTGCCAAAGTCTCAGAAATGCAGATACAGCTCTTTGGATGTTACCTGCCCTTCTAACAAAGTCAGTGTTCTTTGTTGAAGTAATTCAGAAGTCAAATTGTCTTTCTGTAAGAAAAAGGCTGACCACCTTTTAATTCAAGTAGGTGTTAAAATGTAACCCATATAATCATCTTACTTCTGAATTCTAATTACTCAACATAGAAGTAAGGTATGGGGATTGCCAGTAGTTTACCCTCTGGATAAGATGAAGTATAGCTTCTTTGTATTTCTTATAAGGATCTTTTTGTTCTTTCTCAAGGGACACTCCCTCAGAAACTGTATCTTGGAAATGTTTCTTTGTTTGCCTGCCTGAGTGGTTTTTACCCTCTGAGACAATGCATCATTGTAATATTTGGGTGATAGGAGGTGTGCCTTTTGTGAAGTGGAGAAGGGAGAATTATGAAAGTAGAGCCTGGAAAAAAGATTGTTGCCTAGGCTGTTGGATTTGTCTCGAGCAAATAAGTTTTAGGAAAGGATATATGTGGAAGTGGAACTTGGAAATTCACAGGGGAAGAGGAGATAAAAATGCAAGCTTCACAAGAACAATGCTGCCAGGGTGTTCATTCAACAAATACTATCTAACTTGAATGACACATGGCTGAAGTTCCCACCCTGGAGTTGCTGACAGTCAGCAGATATTCCCATGATCCTATTGAATGGTCTGTTGAAGAGTTTTAGGGGTTCCCTGAACCCCTTCTGAAATTTATACAAAACTTTCATGTATGTGCACATATTTTTTTTATCAGATTTTCCATAGTTTCCATTACTCACAAATATTTAAAATTTACTTGGCCTAGCCTGAGTCATTCTACAGTAACATGATGTAAAAATAGAGATGAGACTTCTCAAAGCTTGTTTCAATACAGTTTTTTCAGTAGAGTTGAAAACTCAATTAGCCATTTACCTGCAACAGGAGTTCAGTATGTATTTGGGAAAATGATTATTATACATAAAAACTGGAACTTAATGATTGTCTTATTATGACATTAAGAATTCATTTGTAAACTTTGAAGCTCTAACTTGGGAAATGATTATTTGCAGCCACTAACAAAGAGCATCAGGATCCTGAGTGTGTGTGTGTTTCCAGGTAGGCATATGAGAGGTGGTAGTACAGGTGTGAGCAGCTTGGAGTCAAGAATCTTTCACCTTGCTCTTTAGACCCTCACATGTTGTTTAGCATTCAAGACATGCAGAGTAAATGTTTGTGGAATGAATGAATAAGTGAATATATTTTAAAAATCTCATGAAACCAAATTTTACAAATCAAATTTGAATGTGGTTTGATTTATCTTATAAAAAGAGATTTTGGGGGGGCACCTGGGTGGCTCAGTTGGTTAAGTGTCTGACTCTAGATTTCTGTGCAGGTCATGATTTCATGGTTGGTGAGATTGAGCCCCACATTGGGCTCTGTACTAACAACAAGCTAAAGGAGCCTGCTTGAGATTCTCTCCCTCCCTCTCTCTCTCTCCTCCTCCCTGGCTCTCTCTCTCTCTTTCTCTCTCTCAAAATAAATAAGCTTTTTTTTTTTAAAGAAAATATTTTGTTTTGGTGTCGGTTAAAATATTTATGATCTTAAGATGAGGAGATGAATATTTTAGTAACAGATATTTCAAAATAGTATTAGTGGAATACTTAACTGGGAAGACTTATTTACTCTTTTTTTAAAAAAGTTGACATGAATTAGGAAATAAAATCTTTAGAACAAATGGAGTATAACTGAATGGTGGAATTAGCTTTTTAAAATTTGTACATGCTTAACTTTTAATTCATTAGGAGGACTTGATATGAGACCCCAATATTTATTGTGAGGTTCTTAATATCATATAAAGCCTGGGTAATCTCTTTCCATACAAGTGGAAGAGACTTCATCCAATGGTTATTGCCTCTGCTTTTGCTAAAGACAATTGGGAGTGTAGCAATATTAGCAGGGAGAACAATTCTTGTTTTATTTCTGTACTTTTAAAAAATAATTTGAGCATAGAGGAAAATAACTTTGCTCTAAAGAAGATTATAGCAGTTTCTCTTTAAAATTCTATATGACTCATGTCTCAGATTGTGTTCCTGAAACTTCCATATCTGTTCTGCCGGATGACTTCTTTTTTCTTTTCTCTCCAAACTCAGAGCAGCTTATCAGTGTTTGCATCAAGGCTTGGCAGTCACTGATAGCCGCTCAGTCTAACGTCTGTCATGATAGAAGAGCATTAAAAAGCAGATACTAAAACTGGAACTAGAGAGAGTAGAAGACACAGCAGAGATGCTTCTAAAAGGGTAGAGATCTTTATGAAGTTTGTGTCTGGGAGGCAATATTACATACATAATGGCGAGGAACACAAGTTTGGCTTTCAACCGATCTGTGTTCAAATTCTGGTGCCAGTACTGACGAGTGCTTCTACTTGCTGGCTATGTAACATTAGTTCCTTAATCTCCCATCTGTCAAGTGAGAATAAAATTGTCTTGACGATAGTGAGAGATACAAATGAGGTAATAAAACTGTGTCCGGTAGAAGCTGTTCTGGCTGATATCCACCATAGCTATTCGGGAGGACTCTCCTGATGGAATACATTTTGTTCTTGGATAAAACATTTTCAAATGTATTAT